TGATGAGCGTGGTGTCCTCAGATTGTTCATCCTTTTTGTAATAGGTACCGGTACTTACCTACCGTAGGTATTGCAGTTTGCGGCTTGCCACAAATCAATGAGTCATATTACACATCAATGGGGTACCGGTAGGTGATACCGGTACCTGCGCGACGATTTGTAGCCTGAAGGTACCTACCAATGTACACTGTACCGTATACCGTATGCTAGTACCGTATATGCTAATACCGTATACCGTATACCGTATACCGTATGCTAGTACATTCACTGACGGCTGACGGGCCACGGGCCCACGGCTCGTTCTTGAAATGGCAGCGGTACCTACCGTAGCACGTACCTCGTGACTTCAAATCTGCCAATAGGTACACCTGAAATGGTTTTTTGTACGGCAGATCGAGTGACGTCAGACGTACGGTTTTGGCTTCCAGGTATTCACTGTGAGCACGATACCGGCATGGTAGGTATACCTTTCTGACATCGTCATACGGCAGGGACTGGTACGTACCTTTTCCGTATTTCATGCGCAGCCACGGGTCACAGGCTCTCACAGCTCAGCTCTATTTAATATAATTACCGTAGGTATAGCTGGAGAAGTACCTACCTAGGTACTCCGGTACCTTGGTACCTCGGAGTTGGTACCTACTACCGGTAGCCATCAGACTCAATCATTGATCTTTCTGGCGCCGCGGCCCTTCGCGAACCCCAAGTGGCGTACCGTACTTGATGACGTCCCTCGAGGCTCGTTGTATGTGCACGGTGACTGCAACTTTCATAGTCCAACTTGCCTGGCCGAGCAGGCGGCTTGCCTCGTGCATATGCCAATTTATGGTGTGGCCGGCCACTCCCAGGCTCAGGCTTGTCTCTCGGTTCATAGGCCGGGCCCCGGGGGACTCGTTTGGGCAATTGTTTGGTGGTTAGGGTCGTTAATACGTATAGGGGTGCGGAGCAGGTAGCTTTTTGTGTTGATCGTCCGGTTAAATAGCTGTGGTGCCCGGTGCTTCCAAATTTCAGGTGACAAGCCCCTCAGGATGCCTACCGGTAACCGTACTGAAAGGGAGTTGCCAGCAATGAATAGGTACGGTCGAATAAGCAACTGGAATGTTCAAAATGAAATTATGCGTATATGTTGCAATTTGAAAGCTTCTCATTGTGTAATTCGTAACTCATTGCTCAGTTTTTGACTAACACCGGAAACCGACCCAATCCATCACCCGCTCCACAACCGTACAACCCCCATACCTAGTATTACGCCACCGTGGGGAGCTCTCCAGCTGCTCAGCTTTGATATTCAATATTCTTGCCGGATATTCTGACCCTCTGATCGGTAATATTGTATTCCGGGGCCAGGGCCCGTCTGTCGTCGATCTGGTGAACATCGTGGACCGGGCTATAGCCGGGGGAACGGGTGCGGGGGGTTTTGAGAGTTGGATTCAGACAATGCAGTGCCCGGTGCGGTGGCCCGGGCGGCCGCCACTGCGGAGCGCCTACATTTTCGAATTTCGATCGTCGGTTTTTGATCGAAGATTTCGGTTACCCCAGGAACCGTTAGCATTAACCCTCAGTCGCTCCAATGAGGGTATAAGCGCTACGAAGGGTAACAGCAAAACTTAACTGAAAACGTAAACTCAAAGTTTGCACGCTCCGCAGTCCGCACCCAGTCTAACCCCCAAGCTAACCCTCCCGTCCCAGGGGCCAGTTACCCTTCATGGTCCTAATACCCTCATGCCTTCATACACTCGAGCGGAATCCAGGAACCGGATT